AAAAGTACATGTACATGTACATTGCACTACTCGATAGACAGATCCAGTACCTCTCATCATATTGAATTTTCATATTTCTTGAGACTCTTAGCTCATTCTAGCTCATTCTAATGCTAATTCCTGTTTTTAACCCTCTAATCTACATCTCTATATTAAGAAAGGACAGTCAGACTGGATTAGTAATATACTGTACTGTACGTGTGAGGTGCATAAGTGGGTGGGGTGTGTATTTAAGTCAGCCAACCTAGAGCGCGCTTCTTACGTAATTATGACCTTCTTTTCGGACATTTTCTTCGCGGAGAGCCGAGAGTAGCGCCACACATAGGTTGCCCGTAACGTCTGGCGCTACCAACTATCGAATTTTCTTTTTTCACATTTTTTTCTTTTTTGCGTAGACCAATCATCCCAATCATCATGACAAGAGGAAATGTTTGCGCGTTTTTTCGCCAGGTGTGAGTCCTAATGATAGCTGAGCATCATATAATGGCTTCACCCAAATTTTCGCAAAAACAACTAGAGTATTCTATCCTTGAGATACTGGTATGCTTTTAACTGATGCGATGACGCTCGAAATTCAGCTTGTCTGATCACACCTACAAGTTTGTCTATTGAAAACGAAAAAAAAAGGTTATGCCTCGAAGAACTGTGACTGCTATTCAAGAAGTGAGAGATAGCTAACAGTCAAGATGAGGCACAATATTGAGTTTCTGCGATCGAAATCCATTCCAACTGACATGGTAGGATCTAGCCGCAGCTTTTAATTCCTCTCAAAAGCTATCGGCTGTACCACTTTTATGGGAAAGATGGTACACCTATTTATAGCTCACTTCATGGGCAGCATGAATAGAAGCAGATATAAATTCATGCTATGTGCTCTGTACGGAGTACATACATACCTGATGAACCAAAGGCGATGAGTTAAACTTCGCGCTAAAAATAAGCTTAAGTCATTTCAGCCAAAATTGGTGCCTCAGTAAACCCTACTATCCTTGGATGTTGCTGAGTGATGGATTAACTCCTTTTTGCTGACTGCAAATCTTCTCCTCTTCAGAAGCGGAAAAATGCAAAGAATTGAATGAACCCTTCAATTTGTGTGCGCCTGTACTCCGTATACCGCACATGGCTTATTGTCGCTCTAGATAACAGCAGACATGTCCAGTAGTTCCCCATCCAGGTTCTTCTACCGACACATATTGTTGAACCATTTTGCTCAACCGCAGGCTCAGGTATCACCCTTGTCGGTTATATGCGCATTTGAACCGCGAGTCCATCGTTATCCTTATTTAATTCCCTCAGTCGCACATTGTCCAACCTACATGTATTGCAGTTTGCCGATAAGTACACTGTTCTAGTTTATCTAGACGACACTAGGGTGAGAGGGGGATGTTGTTGGAAACCTAGAGCAACCCGCTCGACTTCTTTCGGATTTATGATAGAGATCCTTTAGATATCCGCGGATATAGTTGGCTTCAACAAGCTCACACCAATTACGGCAGCCTATGGTGACATTTGGGTCAAATGGGTATTTTATACTAGTGTTACAATGAGCACACATCAATATACTGACCGTATTAACAATGACGATCTCCTCATTAGATGTTGTATGAAATAGTGACTCACATCAGGGGAGGGCTCTACCCAGGTTCTTCACCTGAGAGTCTCTATACCTGGGGGGCTCTATACGCCGGGGGTACTCTATACCCAGGGGTTCTCTATACCCCGGGGTACTATATACTCAGGGATCTCTATACCTGGGGGACTCTATAACCGGGGGTACTCTATCCAGAACTCCTGATGGGTTTATGTAGAGAGATATGTACGTAGTATGTGGATGGAGCTCATAGTGTGAAAGCCAAGACGGACTAGGCTATATATAATAACATACTAACTGCATTAGGAGTAGTGTAATTGGTGCGTGTCCATATAATGAATATTATGTGGAGTTAAGCCTTTATACTGGAAAACATTTAAAAAGAGCAGTAGTGACCCTATATATAACTAGCTAAGAACAGCACCTTTTAACTTTTTGATCGGCCGGGTAGCCACCTACTGACGTGGAAGTGCGTAGGTATCCTAGCGGTTATTGCCGTTTTGTGTTTGACTATTGCCACCTAGACCTTGAAAAAAAAAAAACATTTGTTTCACTATACGGGAGTAAACTATCTGGGTTATACTCTGCTCCGCTTGGAGACATATGACGTTTGACCGCCTGTGTATCTTGTATCTCCAATACTATCATCGCAGCGCGCCCTTGGGAATATTCTCGGGCTCAATACCAAGTGCTCCGGTGTCAGTTGCGGCTGTCTGCTCTGTGTTTTCATTTCCCTTTCCCCGGTTTTCACAGTTCACTAGCCGAGACATACAAGTCCTGTCAAGAAATGTCTACTTACAATGAGGCGGCGAACTGTTAATTTTTGCAAAGGAGCCTTTAAGCGTTGAAAACAACACCATTGATCTTATTGAGGTGCAAATTGTACGAAGTGTTCTATAAAAGATCTTAAGCGTGACATATTGATGTGAAGTACCCGGCAGCCCGAAGGGATATCCGCTTTTCTATCTTCTCTCATTGATTAAGGAGGGGAGGAACAGAACCTCCGAGACCTGCTCTTCCATGAGATACATGTACAGTACATACATGTACCATGTTGGAAATAATAGGAATCTACGGAGTATTACCGTATTCGGAGTACATTACCATAAAATACAGCTGGGTATTTTCTCCTGGGAAAATAACCAAGGGATGCGCCTCCAAACTATGTAGTTCTGTTATCCCCTTTGGGGAAACAGCGGCGGGTGAGAACACGGGCACAACTATTATTGTTATACGGAAGTACGGAGTATTTTTTCCCAGTTTTGCCACACGGGGAACTTGGAGTGGTGTTGTTGGAGACAAAAAACAAGTCTTGGAGTGGCCAGAAAATAATCCTAAGCTCCATGTGGCGTCAAACGGCATGCTTCTTAGCACGGTAGAACTTCTCTTTATTAAGGTGGTTCATCTGCTAGCTTCGTATGTCTCACTTTTGAGACGTTCTTGTAGGGCTCTGGAGTACGGAGTATGTTATCTCACTTGAATTTCAGCACCTTCATTATTATTGAATTGAATACTCCGTACTCCGTACGGAGTAGTATGAATTCCATGGATGGACACCCGGGGGTTGAATGGGGGCCGGGCACTAACCAACTAGTTACTGACTAGGAGATGACCATTGGTCAGCGCTGACAGGCGGAGATTATTTAATTGAGGGATCCTGCAGCGCCAAGTCGCATGAAATATTTAGTACACACGGCCTTCCTATATAGGCATAGATGCCACGATTCGGCGCTGCTGTGGCAGCTGCAGGTGCAATAGCAAATAAGTTCATATTGAATCAGAGAATGATAATAATGAGTATAGAAATCGCGTACGTATGGAATAAGAATAATGAATGAGAAGCTTGCTTCTTATACTCCGTATTATATGAGGATATTTAGAGACGCGGCACCCCAGAATGAACGTTAGAATGCCACTAAAATATTAGGGCGGCACTAACGAAAACACCGGGGCATAAACCACTAACTACTGAACACTAATTTATGACGTTAAACCATATAAGGAAGGCCATTACTGCGAAAGGTGCTTGCAGGAGGATCCGTCTATTATTAGATTGCGTGCGGCTCGCACCAGCGATGGGTGATGCTACATTGTTATTTCAATGTTCGGTATGGACCTCACAACCCATCTCAGATGCTGTGTCTAGCCCAAGAAAAAGAGTTTTCTTGACAAAATAGAAGCAGTCGAGCCAGCCTCTTGGTTTTGAGATCAAAACCCTACAGCTAGATGATGAGAGCTTGCTCGGATGAAATTCCCCTGTATGCTCCAGGATCTCCTTCCAACTTCTACATTGTCTTCCATAATTTTCCTTTCATAGCTCGTCTCTTCATACCTGGTAGACCATCCCCCAGGTGTTATTGGTATCGGGTGAAGTTTACTTGACGAAAATTGGGTTGATCAATTTCCATCTGGTCTAATCCTAAAGTGGTCGGATCGCTCTCGAAGCGAGAGAGGTGCCCATATAGTAGTATCCCGCATGTGCCAGTCCCACTCCTTAACACTTATATCTTTGCCGAAGAAACGTGCTTGGGCATATGAGACGATTAGAGAGAGAGAGAGAGAGAGACCGAAGCTGGTATCTGGGGGCGATATAGAAATGGGAGCTCCATAGCATAGGGAACAGAGCCCACTCCCCAAAAATTGGATATTTCTCTTCGAAGTACTCCGTATTCCCACGCTTTCCTTCACACCGGTGGCTCTTGTTTGGCCTGAGCACTATTTCAAATGGGGATCTCTATCTCACTGGACCTGACCTGGTTGGGCGGTTTCATCCCTGGAAATGTGCACAACCAAACCATGCTCCCCACCCCATCGCGTCAAAGAACGGAGGCAATGCCATGCCCTCATTGCATTCCCTTTCTACACATGATGCCGTCGAGCATAAAATACTTGTTTGAAGTGTGCGGATCATTCAAGTTTATAGAAGTAGGAATCTGTAGGTTGGTTTGAGTATGGTTATCGTGAGTAGTATTATTATATTATCACTGTTATTTACCTTGACTCTTAACTTTTACTCACGAAGATCCCCAACGCTATAGTTTCGTCCCACTTTGACCAGAAATTTAATTGCGAATGCGCCTCATCCTTTTTTTTTCTTTTTCTTTTTTTTACCAAGCCTCCCTTTCCTCCTATGCCAAATGGACTATTGTTATTCATTTCCTCCTTCTTTGATGGGACCAACATGAACTCCCCGCCTTTGCGCCATTACGGAATATATACTGATGGCGGTGTTGCAGTACTGTATGTATGTACTGTACGTTACATTAATGTACTGTACATACAAGGTACATTACATACATTCTTACATGGACCATGGACTAACCACCCGCTCACTCATCCCGTTACACGTGGAATCTGTACAGTTGGACACAGATACACGGGCGAGAAGAAATGAAGATCTATGAGACTGGAGAGTGTCACTTGAGAAAGAAGAACCCCTGGAATAGTCCTGGATTCAATGTATTTGTATCCCAGGTTTAACTTATCTTGCGTAGCAACCTGCTGGGGCTGAGAAACTTATCGTGATCAACTCCTCTTCTTTCTTTTTCTTCTTAATCATTGATAACTAATAGATAATAAGGGTACCACCCACGGAGTACACCTGGACTACGGAGTACATCACCGCCGGAAATCTGCGAAGGATGCTTGTATTACAGTATTGGCACCGTGCAGGGTTGCCTGGATAGTGGGATCTGCACCATCTACAGCCGGTTGGGGGGGTGTATTCTGACGCTTGTTTTTTCGGGGTGTCATGGATACGAGCAAATTATTGGAGCAGTGGTTGTTATTTAGGTCTTGTTGGCAGCAACAGTATTGAATTTTTCAGATACTTTTATGTTACCTCATTACCCTCTATTCTTACTATGGTTAGTTATCGAACTCCGAAATAGTATTTATATTTTTCTTTTGTACCTGGATACAAAGTTTCTTTCGTATATGAGATGGGTACTTTATCCCATAGTAATTTACTGTATTAAGACTTACCAAGGTCAAAGGAAAACCAATCCCTATTCTGTATCAGCCCTATATAAAATCCAACAAAAGCGTCCTAATACCAAAGCCCAACCTAGCCCATACAAAACAAAGCCCTAGCTACCCTACACCTCCGTCCCACCAAGCGCCTTTCGCAGCGTCGCAATCTGCTCCAGAACAGCAGACCTGCTCGTGCCCCCAATGGCAGCCTTCATCTCCACAGATCGCTCGTAATCAAACACTTCCAACACATCATCGCCGAACCGGTTGTCAACAGCCTGCAGCTGGGCGAGGGTCAATTTGTCCATGGGGATTCCTTCGTTTTCTGCAAGGGCCACGACGCGGCCGGCGATGTGGTGCGTTTCGCGGAAGGGCAGGCCTGATTTGCATGTGAGTTAGTTAGGTTTTCTTGCCGGTAGGTATAGATGGGGATAGGGTGCTGGGTTCGGATAGCTTTTGGGGCTTGGTTGATTGAAAGAGAGTTAAATTAAATTTTACCTTTGCGCACGAGATATTCTGCCAGATCGGTAGCTAGCATATCGGGAGTGAGGGCCTCGTGCATTTTCTCGGGGAAAACGGTTAGGGTGGATAGCACGCGGGTTGCGATAAGCAAGCTATCCTTCAGCGTCTTGACGTGCTCGAGGAGCGGCTCTACGCTCTCCTGTAGGTCCTTGTTATATGTAGACGGAAGGCCCTTAATGGTCATCATTAGACCAGCCATGCCACCAAATATTCTACCGCATTTGCCTCGTAGGAGCTCGAGGGAGTCACCTGCGTTGTTAAACAGCTGTTAGACCCGCCGTCAAACTTTCACAGGAAAACTGGAGGAAAGGGGAGAGAGGACACATACTATTCTTTTTCTGAGGCATCAACGAGCTTCCGGTGGTGTAGGCATCCGACAGGCGGACAAATCCAAACTCAGTCGTGCCGTAAACAATAAGATCCTCGCTCCAACGGGAAATGTGCAACATCAATGAAGAGCCCCATTGCATCGTTTCTAAGATGAAATCCCGGTCTCCAACAGCGGACATGCTGTTGTGGATCAGACCCTCAAAGCCCAGTTCTTTCGCCATACCTTCCCGGTCAATTCCAAACGCATTTCCCGACAAAGCTCCGCAGCCAAGGGGGCTCCGGTTAACGTGTTTTATCACCTCGCGCAGGCGCTCTAGGTCGTTCATGAAAAAGGTACCGTAACTGAGCATCCAGTGGCTCCATCGAACTGGCTGTGATGAAAAGAATCAGTAAATTCCTCTTCCCCCCCACACCCCTTTTCTCTTGAATTCATTTGTTGCGGAAGTAAGTACCTGTCCACGCTGCAGGTGGGTGTATCCGGGCATGACATATTCGATATCACTCTCTGCTCGTTCCGCAATGACCTTTAATAGGTCGATAAGGTAAGTTTCGATCACCCGTAACTCGTCCCGAAGCCAGAGCCGCAAATCGGTAGCGACCTGGTCATTTCGACTACGCCCTCTGTTGGATTGAATGAACAGCATTGTCAGCTCTCTAAGCAAAATTTTCCTCTATGACCAAACCTCCATTTAGTTGAGCCCGCGGCGCGCGTACGCCGTACAACAGTCGAACCAATCTAGGAAGTGGAACGGGCACCAAGGGAAAAGAAAAGCACAAAAACCTGTCTGTAAGCCCTCACTTACGTATGAAGCTTCCCAGCAATCTCCTTGCCAATAATCTCCCCCAATCTGCGCTCGTTCGCCGTATGGATATCTTCATCGACACCGGGGAAAATTTTAAAGATGCCCTGCCGCCATTCCTCCCGCACCTGCCTCAACCCTGTCTCAATGGTCCTGAACTCGTCCTCGGTAAGGATTCCAGTTGCGACATTTGCTCGCGCAAAGGCAATGGAGCCGGCTATGTCCTGTTCGTAAAACGCCTTGTCGAAGTATATGGACTCGTTGTATGCAACCATCAATGGGTCGGTGGCGCCTAGAGGGAGGGCAATTGATATAGGTTAGAGGGATAGCGGCGAACTGTTTGGTGCTCTTTGACTAGTAGGGAAGAAAAAGGGGGGATTGTTTATAGGTGATGTCAGCTTACCTGTAAACCGGCCACCCCAGAGTTTACCAGCAACCGCTCCGGAAGCGGTTTGTTGGTTTGGTGAAGCCATTGAAGCTTGTGGGATTGCAATTGGTGGGGAGGGAGGGAGGTGATGAGGTGCTGAGTTTCAGCGATTTTGTGCAGTCCTTTTTTTGTAAATATTTCCGATTGACTCTTAAATACTCACAAATGCGCGCGCAAAATAAATTTAAGTTGCCAAGTCACGGGTAGTTAAATAGCAACACGCGGATGGGGTCCTTTCTGCCGCCGCTTTTGCTCAGAATCATTCAACCGCTAACTACAGAGTATAGTGTAGGGCTGTACTCTACTATGCACTCCAATTCTCCATCTCCACCAAACATTCTTTAAGCAAAATGCCTCCTCCATGGGGTTTGTCCGATTTCTTCGCCTCGCCTCGCCTGGCCTCGGATACCTTCTGTACTAATTATCCTCCCCGTATTCGCTGTTCTGAAAATCTGGAAGCCCTGAAGAAGGTAGCCCCCCCTCCTGACGTACAGACAGCTTCCTTCTTGGAGGCGTGAAGGGGCATGCACAGTAATAATGTTAATAACTAGTTACCTCTTCCCCATTCTGGCCGGCGTAACGTTTTTCCTCCTGGATGGAAGCCTACGAAGTCTGTAGGGAGCAATTGGGCCTTGAGGCGATGTGTCAGCGCCGCATATCAACTATGATCAAGTAGGCGGAAAAGGAGTAGGACGGTATCTGTATATTCCGCATTTGAGGTAATCTCTTTGGCCATTTACTCCTACTTCTCACTTCCAATCCCTTCTCATAAGCTTTCTCCGGGTGAGGATTGTGTTGCGTGAAGCGGTCTGAAAGCTAGACTTTTAGTTATCTCTACCAACTATCTTAGATATCCGAGGCAAATGAAGGAATGAATTAAAAGATCTCTGGAGAGCTCTGCTAAGATACCGCAACATACATACATATTCAATTGTATTGCTCCATACAAAGGCCCAACACTCTGCTATTGGGGTATTCATTTATTCGCAATGTTGTCTGTCGTCTTTCAAAATCCAGGGGTATATCCTCCTTCGTTCTCCCCCATCGAGTACACATAAACAGTATGGCAAAATAGAGTTAAGGAAGAGGCGACGAAATAGGGCGCGAAAAGGGTAAAGGGAAAGGGGAATAACAAAAAAAAAAAAAAAAAAAAAAAAAAAAAAAAAAAAAAAAAAAAACCCAGAACAGAATTACCAAATACGACCGAAATCAAAGGGGAAAAAAAACGAAGAAAACTATACACAATCAGAGTTCACAAGGCTGAGCACTTGTCTATTCCTCACACAGCAGCAGTATCATTCAGATATCATCATCGTGGTTAGCGTCTCTTCCCCTCTCTGAAAAAAAAAGAATCTACTACAACTTAACTCTCCCCGCCTTCACAGTATCCCACTCCGCTTTCCCGAACGGCACATACTTCCCCTCTCTAAGCCAATACAACCGATCGTCCACCCCCTTTCTATTCAACAAATCCACATCCACCCCTTCCTTCCTTAGCACATGTTTCTGCTGCTTATTATTGCCAGTTGACTGCATCTCTCTCGTCACCCTGAGAAATAGCGGTACGGCATACTTGGGCAGGTTCTCGGACGCAAGACTAGCCAACGAGTTCAGTACGGCAGGTGAAGGTTCCAGAATTGGTATTTCCGATGCGTCATTCTCGCGCTTAGAACCTGGTGCGGGGGTAACGGTCGCCTGCTCACGAAAGACGATGGCAGCGCAACCGGCACGACCGTCGTTGTTCGGCACTGCGACACCGTAGACGTTCGCTTCGAGCACCTCGGGGTGCTTGCCGAGGACTTCAGAGACTTCGTTTGTGGACACGTTCTCGCTGCGCCAGCGGAAGGTGTCGCCGATACGGTCAGAGAAATACCAGCGGCCTTCAGGATCCCAGCGCACGACGTCGCCGGTCCGGAACCACGCGTCCCCCTTCTTCAGCACGTCACGCAATATCTTGCCCTCTGTCGCGCCTTTGTTGTTGAAGTAGCCCTGGAAGGTCGACTTGATGTTGTCAGCGTTTAGAGCGAAGAGTAACTCGCCAGGCTCCCCTCTGGGGACTTTCGTGCAGAAACCCGTCTTAGGATCGCGCTGTGGCTGTTCAGTTTCATAGTCCAGCTCAACGACTGCCACGGTACGGCCGGCTATCAGCTGGGTAAGTAGGCCGTTCTTTCCGATGGCTCCTGCGGTGTAGTCATTGCCGGATCTGTTCCAGCTGCCAGAGTTGCCCTCTGTCGAAGCATAGAATTCACAGATAATCGGCACGTTGAATCGCTCTTTAATGCGATTCCACACGTCCGGCCGCAGGCCGTTGCCGTAGAGCATGCGCACATTGTTCTTGACATCAAGATCCTCGCCGGTGACAGGGTCGATTTCGCGTGGTGTAGCGAGCAGGTATCGGAGGGTTTCGCCAACATATTGAACGACAGTTGCTTCGGTGTTGCGGACCTCTTTCCAGAAATTGCTGGCGGAGAACTTGCGGCCAATTATTATGGTTGTTCCTGAAACCATGCAGGCTAGGTAACCTAGAATGGCAGCTGTGGAGTGGTAAAGCGGCATGCACTGGGAAGTATTAGCCCGGACATTCTCACTAGAGAGAAATAGAAGAAAAAAACACGAATATAGAGGTACGGGAGGAATCTTGCATAATAGAAACACAATAATAGGGACCAAAGCAGAAATGCCACATACTGTGTAAACGCGATCTGTCCTTTTCAAACCCATCCATTTGCTAACAAATCCGGCGCCCATGATGCATTTGTGCCAGCTAACAATGGCAGGCTTTGGTAATCCCGTCGTGCCGCTGGTATATATGAGAGTGGCTGTCGCAAGTTAGATATCACTGAACAGGGAGAAAGCCCTCGTGGCTCCAAGTATTGGCGCAAGCTAAGCTACTTACCAGTATCGCTTGCGAGTGACCCAGGCCGACTCGAATTCGGAGCGCGCTCAGCTGGCGTCAGTAAGATTTCCCTCTCCAACGCTTTATCATAGAACACCACCTGGACGGCGCCACCTTCGCTGAAGTCTGGCTTGGAAAACACCTCCAGCTGCTCCGGTGGGAAAAATTCCTCTTGCAACTCTCGCTCAACAAATAGGATGCGGGCAGTCGACACCATAACACAGTGCTCCAAAGAACCCTTGGCTAAGTTATAATTGATAAAAGCCGGCGTCGCGCCAATACTCCAAAGTCCCATCCACATAAAGATGAACGCAGCAGAGTTCATAAAATCCATAGCCACCACATCACCCGTTTTGATGCCATAAGTCTTTTTGAACCAGGTGCCGTAGCGCAGGGAAGTTGTGTATAATTCGTGGAAGGTCCAGGTTTGCCCGTCGTAGACGACAGCGGGGTTATTGGTGGTGCGCTTGTCCAGTGCGTTCCTCTCCATGATATTGAACAGATTGCACTGGCCTCGTCGCTCAGCTAGGATACGATTGAGGGCGGAACGGGTGAGGGCGGACACCACATTAAGGTCCTCTGAGATGCCCCATCGTGCGTCCAGATAGGCAACCGACGCAGCGGCCGCTGGCACAGCCAAGGATAATGGAACCGCTGTTTGGACATCGTTAGTTGGCAACCTGAATTATTTATTGAACACTCGCTCTGGAGGAATGGCGGGGAGATTATATGTACCTGCAAGAGCCATTTGAGGCGTAGTAGGAGAGTATAGAACAAACGAAACGGAGAGATTGAGAAGTCGAGGTGGGATATTGGAATACAAAAAGGAAATAGAAATAAGGTTAGAAAAAAGTTACCAGAAGAAGCAAGGAAAACAAAAGAAGCAAATAAAGGGAAGGTTTGCTGGTCATTAGTAGTTGGGCTGAGCGGATACGGCAGATGCGTGATTATTTACTTTTCCGCCTCCATTCGTGAATCCGCGCCACCGGTCCAAACTAACTGGCGACAGAACAGCTGGGTATTTTCTTGGGTGGGTTCTATAGGAGAAGCCTACACGCTAGGTTCAACGACGCTATGGGAAAGCAGACACAGCGATTTGGAATAAAGGATTTGATTGTCGCTAACTCGCAAGGAGGAGAGGATCCCAAGATTGGGCGGAGTGGTCGACTCTATGCAGCATCGACATAGTGCAGAAAATGAACCAACGCACGAAAAGGAGCAAAAAGCCAACCTCGGCGTGAAGTTGAGAGCGGGAGCCGGGACGGAGGCTACACAGCAGCTTGTTTGGGATGCAACCTGCCCACGGTTTGTCCATGTCAAGTTGTCAACGCGCAATTGCATATGACACCGAGCAAGCAGTTAGTGTCAGCTAAGAGCTCAGAACTGGTGGAGTTAAACGCTAGTTAGGCGATTGGCAGCTGGCTGGCGACCATGAGGGCTCCTCGACACGAATTGGCAGCATCCCGTGCTATCAAGTTCACTTTACAAAACATTATCTCAAGATGAAGATGAAGACTAGTAGGAAGATGATGAAGAGATGTCGTTGAAACATGCCCGATCGATCGGACACATACGACCCTGGAAACGAGCCTCCTCATCACGTGGACCTCCTTTTGCTGTATACGCAGTAGTTGCCTTACTGGAATCCCTGGACTATCCTCCATCTTGGCCCTACATCTGACCCCATGGGGTCCGGCTGCTTATCAAAATTTAATGTACACAGAATTGCTACGGATGTGCAGGACAGTCTCCTTCACGTGCGGCCCGAATGCGGACAATTGGCCAGGGTGAAATGGCTTCTTAATCTGGCTACGATGGTTTTATAGGGATTTGTTGTTCCGTTGTGCTCAAACTAACAACAATTAGTTTAACTAAATAACTAGCCTTTTTAGAAGAAATACCGAGTCGAGCTTATCGCAGCATCCCCCGCACCGAGGCATCACAGAGCAACAATGCGGGCCTTAAGCGGCTCGGAAAGCCGGACCTGGGCTCGCAGCATGTCGACCTTCCAAGTTCCTTGTGGCGGGGAAATTCTCGAATGTGATGGTATTTGCTCAGGGACTACAATAAATAATAACATTATTCAATGAATGAAGGCGTCTATGGCGAGAGGCATACGATCGTTTATCGAATCTACCAGATAACTAACCACTCTCATAACAATTCCACACTATATGTCCTTACTTGCTAACAGACACATTCTCGAACCCATCCTGCAAAAACCCCTTCAAGCCTTCAAGCGCCCGTTCCAACGCCTGTGTCTCCATAACAAACCCAATCCTCACATAACCCCTATAATCCTTCACATCCCCATCCCCATCCCCAACCCCATTCCCAAAACATACACTCCCCGGCACAACCAACACCCCTTCCTTCTCCAGCAACTTCTCACAAAACTCCACATCATCCACTGGCTTCCCCATCTTTGAAAACCTCACAAAAGCCACAGTCCCACCCACAGGCTTCACCCACTCACACGCCCACCGATGCTGCTCAATAAACCCCTCTAACAACCCTAGATTATGCCGCGCGAGCCCATTATTGCGCTTGAGCAGGTTATGCAAACACCCCTCGTCCAACGCGTAGTGGGCGATTTCCTGGTCCAGCTGGCTTACTGAGATCATCGTGTAAGGGCGCCAGGACTCGCATGCCCGCACCAAGTCAACGTTGGGCGAAGCGAGCCAGCCGACCCGGACGCCGGAGAGGGAGGAGGCTTTGGACATTGATCCGGAGACGATCACGTTCTCGTAGCCTAGGGACATCATTGATGGTGGGAACTCCGGGTCGGCAGGTGTGATGGAGTGGAAGAGGGGTCTGTAGACTTCGTCGCTGATGACGGTTATAGAATGTTCGCGCGCGACTTCGATGATGGATTCGAGCGTTGAGCGTGGGATTATGGCGCCGGTGGGATTTTGGGGATTGCTTTGGATATCAATTAGTGATATAGTCCCGTAAAAAATAAAACAACAACCAAAACAAACAAACAATTTGACGTACTTAATCACAATAAACTTGGTATTTTCCTTAATCATGCCCTTCAACGCGTCAATATCTAGCCGCCAGTTATCCTCCCCTTTCGTCCTCCACAAGCTAACCTCCGCCCCCAACGCAGCGGGCTGCGTATACAGCTGCTGATACGTAGGATAGTGGCATATAACATGATCACCACGACTGCACAGGCCGTAGAATATCAGGAAATTCGCCAGCGATGCGCCTGGTGTTATGAGTACATTCTCT